TATTGATTTAACAATTCATTAAATGTCCCATGTCATGCTTTTCTGGTTATTACCCGTCCCCTTGTGTGTTATGTAGCTTTTTCTGCATGTAAACGGTCTGCAGAGTCACAAACCCTCAAAGTACACTCTGTAGCGAGTAAAACTCTAACACAGAGAAGACCTGTCTATGCTGCCCCAGAACGCCTCGTTGGAGATTTCTCTTGTTCCATTGTTTACTTCTTGGGTATAGTGACGTATTTCGGGTATAGTGACGTAAAGTAATGACATGGACCAATCTGCCGAGCCGTTACGTTTGGACCAATCGGCGGACTTCCTCACACACACACACACACACACACACACACACACACTCGGCGGGACGTTGCGAGGCTCGCTGCTGCCAGGAGCTGGACACAGTGAGGGGAGGAGCTCCAACAAGCCGTTTAGGACAGAGAGTGAATACACATACTATACAGAGATGCTGGATGAGAAACCAATGTGAGTTTGGAAAATTGCACAATATAAATCTATTCTAGTAGACCTCAACAATGGAATTATCATCAGTAGAAATGGCCATGACATGGGACCTTTTTAAGAAAATGATCTCAGGACAATGAAAGCAGTAATTAGTTTGCGGTCCAAATCCAAATTGTCTTTCAATAATCAACAAATGGCTTCAGCTCGTCGCCATGTGTCTCTTCCTATAGCCATGGTATGAAAAAGGTCATGCAAATGTCCCTGGTCATCCCTCTTATCTGTGTGTCCTAACACAAGTGCACTGTTACATCTAACTGGCTCTCTGACTGTTATCAAGTCAGGAGGATGTGAGTGAGGACAGGTTCTACTATTAGTTGGAAATAAGTAATTTCCTGCTTACATATTACAAAGCAGCGGTGGGTCACAATTTGACAAAATCCCCTTTCCACTACCATCATGACACTTCTGTAAGATATTCACTTTTAGGGGCAAAAAGCCAATGTCATTTTCAACCTTATGTCATGTAATGAGCTTGGCTTTTGTTAGACACAACTAAAGGCGTGGAAATGCTTTTGGTTGGGTTGGTTTACTAGTGGAAGTCTACACAATGCACCTTCTGATTCTTCTTATATTGTATTTAACTTTAAGCTGACAACATTTACCAGTTCTAATGTGTGGCAGTTCAACGCTTTTTATTTCTATAATGCTTGCCCACTGCGTTTGGCACAGCCGTGATGCCAGTAAAGACATTTTTCTCACTTGACCATATGCACTGTGTCCCTTTTGACATATTTCCAGAAAAGGCAACCAATGAAAACAACACAACAGACGACTGGGGGATCATTATGGACATCTGTGATAAGATTGGAACGACAGCCAATGGGTAAGCAGGAAACATTTTGTTAACACTATATGTGGAGCTCTTGAGCATTTGAGCAACACTGTGGTTTAAATAGTTCCTTATTTAAGTGCGGTTCCTTCCGATAAAGCGTTACACTTCAAAATAGTCTACACCAGATATCAATATGACCAGTAAAATGTTGCTTAGTCATTATTGTTGAGTTGTATCCTTTTTTCTTGTGTTTCAGACCGAAGGACAGCTTGAGATCCATCATGAAGAGAGTCAACCACAAAGTGCCTCATGTTGCCATGCAGGCCGTCAACGTGAGTACGCCATTAACAAATGACATTAACTGTTTCCCAGCAAGCAGTAACCATTAGGCGCTTTCACACCGCAGTACTTTTCCCACAAAGGTTCATCAGAACTTAGTTCATAAGAACTCTTTGGTTCATGAGAACTCTTTAGTTCATGAGAACTCTTTAGTTCTGATGAACTGAATACAGATCGCATTCACACCGGAATAAGTCCCTGGGGGAGGATTAGGCAAATGAAGCCTTCTTCTTCTTCTTCTTCTTCTTCTTCTTCTTCTTCTTCTTCTTCTTCTTCTTCTTCTTCTGGTTTACTGGCAGGCCGCAAACCACTTCACGGCGTGTACTGCCACCGGAAGTTCCCGACCGGAAGTCCCCGGAGTTGGGGACTGGCTTCAGAGTAAATCTCCAGAACGCCGACACCTCCTCATCTCCACCGCTCCCATGGTTTCTTTTGTGTTGCCATAAGTTAGTCTCTCTCTCGGGCTAATGCTAATGCGAGGATAATAAAATGGCGGCTTCACAAAACTTTTTGGGAGTTTTACGGGGCGTGGTTTGCAATCCGCCCAGCCAATCAGAAATGGGAACCTTTTTCTCCCATGAAAGTCCCCGCTCTCTAGCAGGGGGTAAAAAAGGTTCTGATGAACTCATTTTAGTTCCGGCTCTTTTTGGTGTGAACGCGACATTTCGGAACTAAAGTGGGAAAAGTACTGCGGTGTGAACGCGGCTATGGTAATGATCCACATTACAGCTACCATCAGTATAAGCATCCATTCATTTGTTTCTGCTCAAAACACAGTTCCAAATCCAATGTAAGCATACATATTTGACCTTTAGCTAATAGAACTGGGTAGGGGTAAACTCTCCTAATATTCTGACTTTTAAGTTTGGGAAATGCATTATTTACCAGGGCAATTTAGCTCCAGTTGAGCTGTAATTGACCTAATGTTCTCATTGTTGAAGCTGTACAGGAAAGTGGAAGATTTCATAAAGGGAGAATGATAATGATGTGAGCTGTCTGAGTCATCATGAGCACATACTGTCACATGGCCTGCTCTATAATTAGATCCCTTTGTTCACTCATTCCCTTATCAAAGCTCTATTGTCATTCAAACGTTTTAGAGCAATACCAAACTCACCTGCTATCAATGCCTAATCGGAATAATGTGCAATGTCAGTTTTCCCTGCATAATACAACATGTACCAGCTGTTTTTGTTCTTCCCTTGCAGTTGGTGGGTGCTTGTGTTTCTAACTGCGGCAAAATCTTCCACCTGGAAATCTGCTCGAGGGAGTTTTCCAGTGAAGTACGGAGTGTGCTCGGCAGGGTATGTGAACTTGTTAAATACAAATCCTCAATATCCCTTTTTTATAACCGTATACAGAGGAGGACATAAGTACTTGATCCAGTGTTTCCTCCAGACCAGGGCTGAGGGCGTCCACCCCGAGAGCGGGGGTGTGACGTCACGTGACTTGCATTTTGAATTGAGCCGTCCCTTTATAGATACTATCTCTTTACG